CATGTTCAACTTGTGATCTACTAGGACTCCTAGATCCCTTTCACAAGTTTAGCCAGGTGTCCCCCATCTTATATCTATGCATTTCATTTTTCCATCCTAAGTGCAGTACCTTACATTTCTCCATGTTGAATTTAATTTTGTTAGTTTTGGCCCAGCTTTCTAATCTATTAAGATCTTCTTGAATTTTCATCCAGTCTTCTGGGGTATTAGCTATTCCTCCTAATTTGGTGTCATCTGCAGTTTTGATAAGCATGCCCCCTATTCTTTCATCCAAGTCATTGATAAAAATGTTGAAAGCCCTGGGCCCAGGACAGAACCCTATGGCACCCCACTGGTCACTTCCCTCCAGGATGAAGACATGCTGATTTTCTTTTGGAATTGCCTGGTGCGCTCCATTAGCCATTGTATATTTGCAATGTGGTTCAACTTACACCACAGTAATTCACTCCCAAGGTATCAATCTTTCTTCTAGGTTTGCAAAACCCTCAAAAATATTCAGAGCTCCTGCAAAGGTATAGAATGGTCATGTTGCCAATTCATAATATGTGTCTATCTTTCCCTCTGTCAGTTTTCCAGCCGTATGGCTACCAGTTTTCCAAGTGCACCTTTCTTTTTCTGCTGGATCTTTTGAGTCCATTTGCCTGCTTTTTTAGAAGATTAAAAAAAGTTAATTAAACATAATGTAGCTTCTGAACAAATGCATATAGGAACATTCTGTTAAGGATTTCTCAAGCGATTCTTTAATGCCATCTTTAACAGCATGGACCCGGTTCTAAAAATAGATCAGGTTGCATGTCAGGTATCTTTGGGCAAGGATTTTTTTTTAACTTACTCCTCCAGCTTCATTTCATGTATTTTTTTTTCAAAATCACTCCCATCCTCTCAATTAAAATGGAAATTAAAAGAAAGAAAGCTGTGTTTCAGGATAATTGGGCTTAACGCTCCTCCTACGCTATTTAAAATTGCTTGGGTTTTTTTTTTTCAGCCAAAGATGCCCTTCACTTTTGTACTCCTATTTCAAATAATGCATGAAGAATTTATCTGTTAATTGTATGTAACATTTTTAAAATATTCTGGTTCACATAATAAGACATGCTGACAGCTGGGGAGGAATGCACTGCATGAGTAATCCTTCCCCAATTCTCTTTGCTTGTGGAGTTGTGGAGCAATGAGATTTGTATGGACATTTCTCAGCATCTAGTCCTCATGAAGCCAGAGGTATCAAGAGATCACTTTAAAGGAATGAAACAGATTAAAGGCATAGTGCTAAATATGGAACTGCAGTGACATCATTAGAGTTAAATGTAAGTGGCTGTTTTTCCATGTTCACAATCCAGAGGTTTCTATTTCTTCCAGCCACAAGCTTTTTGTAATGTTAATAGAGTTTAATTGCCCATAGTCCAAAAATGTGTTGCCAACAAGGGCTGCATCTGCACTGCAGAAATAATGCAGTTTAAGACCACTTTAACTGCCATGGAATTCTAGGATTTGTAGTTTTGTGAAATAATGAGCCTTCTCTGTCAGAGAGCTCTGGTGCCACAATGAACTACAAATCCCAAGATTCCATAACCTTGAGCTACGGCAGTTAAAGCAGTATCAATCTGCATTAATCTTGCAATGCAGATGCAGCCTAGGATAGCTCATAATGACATATTGTTTGGGAGAAATGTTGTTTCCCCACAACTACTGAAGGACTGCAGTTAAACTCAGAGGCTATAGAAATGCTATAGAAATGTTTGAGGGAGACGTCAGGACATGTCAGAATCAGAAAGTCCTGTGAATCAGAAAGTTGAAATACTTTGACCCTAAGAGCCCTGTTTCTGCTTAGCCATAAAGAGAGGCATTCACGAGCTAGATCAGAGGGAGATAAAAATATACATGATCTGACACCTTCAAGGAAGTTTAGGTAAATCTAAAGCTCTACATCTGAGGAGGTTGGCTCAAGTCTACAAAAGCTTATGCTACCAACTTCTTTCTCTCAGTTAGTTTTAAAGGTGCTACATAATCCCTTTGCAAAACTCTTCAGTTTTTATTAGGCTGCTATTTTCCATTCCCACATGTTGAAAATGGCATATCAGTGCAAACTGTTCTTGAGGTTCAAAATCTGGTGCACTCAGTTCCAGGTTCTCCTATGCAATACCTGCACTAGTTATTTTGGCAGTATGCAGAACAGATCACACAGCCATGGATCACCAAAGTGCCCTCATGGGGAAAAGTGTGATAAGAAATCATGCAAAACCAGTGTGCTTCTATTCTTAAACTTGCATGAATGTGGTGAGAGAGCACCACATTCTTCAGATTCTTAATCTTCAGATTGGTTGCTTGATGGAAATAGAACATTTCAAATTGGTTTTGGAGAAGCTGGTTTGGGAGGGATCCCTTTTTTTATCCCTTCTGGAATAATATACTTTCAGTGCAGGAAAATGTCATCTTTCTAGCCTCTCGCCAACCAACAGTTACAAATGAATGCAGCATTTTTTTTTCCTTCTTGGCCCTGGTTCTTTCTGAAAGATACTATAATGGACTGCACTTAAACCACTGATGCATTGCAGATAAAATGTAGATCAGGGCTGCTGTTTGGCAAACAGCCCATCAGGAATATAGAGTTAGCCACACCTAGCTATAAAGCCCTTTTTGTTAAGACAGATTTCACTGTAAAATTTCAGCAGGTTCTCCCATTCTCCCCATTCCTGTTCTTTGAAGCGCTGTGCAATAAGCTTACATATCACAGTGTAAACTGCAAAACTGTACAGGTTTTATACCAATTAATTCCCATGACTTCTTTGCAAAAGATTCTGTTTGGCGTGGACCATTAGCTGATAGACATTCCTTCCAAAGAGCTACTGTTGCCAAGGTTCTCTCCTGAGAAAGAATGACAATTCATCCCATTTCAATGTGAAGCACGGATATGCCCTTTGGCTTGTGTAAAACTTCTGCATTTGACCCTCCTGTTTTCACAGTTGCTGTCTTTGCCACTTTGGACTCCATTTGTGTATTACACTACCTTCAGTTCACTTTGGAAATTAAAAAAAAACTTGCAAAGTCAACCTTTCTCCCTGCCAAATGTTTTATGAAATTGTCCTTTCTCTCTTGACACTTGCAGAGAAAAAGAGTTATTTATATGA